CTTATCGAGCATTGGGCGGCACACTCGATTCATCATATCCATGAATACAGCAGGAGCATTTGTCAAACCGAATGGCATGACAAGGAATTCGAAATGCCCATAACGAGTACGGAAAGCAGTCTTCGGTACATCTTGCTCTTGTACTTTCAACTGATGATAGCCAGATCTCAAATCAATTTTTGAGAAATAGCTAACACCCTGAAGTTGATCGAATAAATCATCGATGCGAGGTAGTGGGTACTTGTTCTTGATAGTCACCTTATTCAGCTCACGATAATCAATGCACATTCGCATCGATCCGTCCTTCTTCTTGACAAACAATACTGGAGCACCCCAGGGAGAGGTACTCGGTCGAATAAAGCCTTTGTCAAGTAATTCCTGCAGTTGGATCATCATTTCTTTCATCTCGGCTGGTGCAAGACGATAAGGAGTCTTTGCGATCGGAGCAGCACCGGGCACAAGGTCAATTCGGAATTCTACTTGTCTGTCCGGAGGAAGTCCAGGCAGATCATCGGGGAAAACATCGGGATATTCGTTAACAATGGGAATATCATTTACAGTTTTATTCTCCTTTCTTGAGATGTCAACTGTATAGGCCAGATAGATAGGACAACCTTTCGATATGAATTTACGAGCTTTGAGGAAAGAGATTATTTTTAAGATTCTTTGTTCACCATAGACATGAATAGGATCTTCCCCTTCAATAGGAATGCGTACCATCTTTTCGTAACACAAGAGTTCTGCATGGTTCTTTGACAACCAATCCATGCCGAGAATAATATCGAAATTGGGCAAGGAGATAGGGATTAGGTTAGCAAGAAAATTATAGCCTTCAATTTCTATGACACAATCCCTATAGATTTTATCAGCAAGTAATGATATACTTCCTGCAGTATCTACGTGAAATGGTTGCGCGAGTGCATAGCAAATAGTTTGAAAAGAATGCGCAAATTCATAAGATACGAAAGAATCTGAGCACCAGAATCAAATAAGATGTGAGCAGGTCTAGAGTTGACAAGAAATGTACCCGTCACGACATTTGGGTCCTCACGTGCTTCCTCTGCGGTAATCTGGAATGCACGACCCTTAGCTTTTGGCACCTCCTCCTTTTTAGCTGGAGTATTCTTCGGTTGTTGGACAGGGACTTGACTTCTCGCTGGTTGTTGAACAGAAGCTTGACTTCCCGTCACTTGGCTGGTAAGAGTAGGGCAAAAACGCTTCTTGTGGCCAGTAATACCACATGCATAACAAGTCACATCCTTCCTTGGGCAAGCTGGCTTGATATGACCTGTTTCTCCACACCCATAACAGACAATGGATTCCTTGTCTATTTTGCATTGACCCGGATGATTCCTTCCACAAACGCGACATGATGGTGATTGAATAGAAAAAGATTGTGACCTACCACGGCCACGAAAAGCACTCTGAGATTGTGCTTGCTTGCTAGGATCAGTTCGAATAGATTGAGCTGGTGGAATAGTGGAAGCAGGAGTAGTTCTTTCAGTACGTGGATGCTTTGGAATAGTAAGAGTGGCACCACGTATTTCTAAGTCATGCTCACGCCTTCGAGCATACTCAACGGCTTTATCGAATGACAAACATCCCGGTTGACAACGAAATCATGGATTTCGTGTCGTAGTCCCTCCATGAATAACTGAATTTTCTCGTCTTCAGTTGGAATATACTTCGTAGCAAACCTTGCTCTTTGATTAAATTGAGTTTCATACTCATTCACAGTCATTCCTCCTTGTTTAAGCTCGAGGAATTCCTTCTCCAATCTTCTCCTCATATCTAGAGGACAATACTTCTCTAGCACACGAGTCTTGAACAACTCCCAGGATAAGTTCTCCTGGTCACATCCATCCAAGAGCTTCATATGTTGCTTCCCACCAGACTAAAGCTTCTCCAATGAGCATTGCAGAAGCATAAATAGCCTTGTCTTCATCATCCACATGAGAAACACGAAATACTTTCTCAGTGTTCTGAATCCAAGTTAGGCCAATTATAGGATTAAGGACACCAGAAAACTCTGTAGCACCATTACTCTTGAAATCTTTGAACGAGGGACGCTTCACCTTTCCGCTTGAAGATTCTACTGTGACTTACACTTTTCCTTTCTCATCATTCTTTTTGTGTTATTCGAGAGTTTGTCGAATAACACTGGTAAGTTTACCTAAAAGTCGCTCCTCACGAGGAGATACTGGAGTATTCACTTCCTCGGGTTGAGGATCTCCACCAACATCAGGGGTATTGCTACTTACTTGTTCAGCCATTGATCTGAAATACGGAGTAAGATAGTATTTTAGAATATTAGGGTTTACTATTACCTAATACTTTTACTTACATATTTCCTATGGTTTGTATCCCTATACTTACAATGATTAAGTTCATATATTGAACTTCCTATAGTTTAAGTCTAAATACCAATCCGTGGAATTTAGTTCGCTTAAACTACTGCTCTGATACCATGGTTGAAAGACCCCAACTTTCGTATTTTTGAAAGACCCAAATTTTCATATTTCACATTATCATTACTCCAAAACATGCTATTTGCATATTCATAAAAGCAATATTTTATATTGATATAAAGGATTTACAAACTATTGGATACAAACCTTCTATTACAAAGTGTTTTATATATTACATAACTACCTAGGATATTGTAATTTATACAAACATAAAAAGTAGTACAAAAGTACTATTACAAACTATTCTACATCTTTCAATAGTATGTAAACATACTATTTATTTATCACCTGCAATTGTTAAACATTGATAGGGTAAGCGGTAATGCTTAGTGAGTTCAAAAATAGATACAATATAATGTTATGCCATATATATATACTTCAATGTGGCAAAGCAAAGAGGAACAACAAGATGTATGTGAGATCATGTAACAAGCGTTCATATCAATCAAAGACATTATTCAAAGATATTCTTTTCAATTCTTGATATACATCAATAAAGCTTTGGCCCAATTGGCATAGAAGACATGCAATTTCTGATTAACATCTTGTTAGATTTCAGGCTTATAGTCCTGTCTAACCATTTGCCAATGCCATAGAATAGAAGTCATTCTCTTATGGAGACATGCTCTACATGGCCAATGTGAATCTAAGTTCTTTCACTGATCACATGGTCAAAGGTATTACAATTGCTATAAACATAGCGAATAACATGAGAAAATAACTCAGAATAATAACACTGAGAAGCACATAGCACATATAACACATAACATACAATTGTTCCTATATACTGAACTCACCTTAAGTTAACCGGGGGTTAAATTAAATAGTAATTTGGACAGCACTTCGGCTTTAAATATGCCTTTCTATGTTGAAAACCGGGAGTTTGTTTGAAAACCGGGCTCTACGAAGGTAGGGATTCAAAACCGAAAAGATAAAATTTCCTGGCTTCTCGGGGATCTCGGGACGTGTTTCGGGTGCTAAAATTGATTTCGGGGCTTCGGGGAAAGTTAATATGAAGAAAATATGGAAAGAGGGGCTAAAAGTGTCAAATTTTCAAAGTTAGTCGGCAAATCTCGCAGGCCCCCTTTATATAGGGCCGAGGTTCGGATGTCAGTCTAGAAGCGAAGCTCGGTGGCAGCAGCAGAGCGAAGCAGGTGGTGTGAGAGGGAGGCTTGGATGCGAGGCTCGGCTGCGAAGCTGGTAGGCGCGACGTGGAGGTGCGAGACTCGGACACGAGGGTGAGGCGCGTCGGAAGCCTATTGGCTCGCACCTCGGTCGAATAGCTGAGCGGCACGCGTCAGACTTCCGGAAGCAGGCAGCGAGGTAGTTCGGTCCGGGCCACGTCTCCGGTGACACACCTGCTTCGTGCGAGGTGACGTGGCCGGTTACTATTCATGCGAAAATTTCTGATTTTCGTACCCCGAACTTCTAAAATCCATAACTTTCTCATACGAGCTCCGTTTTTTATGTTCTTTATATACACGCGTAGCTAAAATCATGCTCTACAACTTTCATTTAGACTTCGTTAGCTAATTTTGAATTTAGTTTTAATATTATTATTTTTAACAGACGGGGGCAGGAAAAATCCGTTAAAAATTCATAACTTTTTCATCCGACATCCGTTTTCGTCAGACTTTTTACCGTTGTACTACATATGACGAGACCTTCGATTCTCGTTTAAGATGTATCGGTAAAATATCGCTCGATCTAAAATTCGAGTTTTTAGCTGTCTCCTACTAAGTTGAAACTTCGAAAAATCATAACTTCCTCATACGAAGTCAGATTTTGGCATTCTTTTTATCGAATTTCTCAGTTTAACGAATACTACGACTTTCATTTAGATTACTAAGGCTAAAAAGGTAGTTTATCAAAAACTCACTTTTTACGTCATTCGGCGCCGTGCTGGTTTTGTCGCGGATCTTCGGTTGGTCATAACTTCGTCGTTATAACTCGGATTTTGACCAGGTTTTCTCCTACAAATTTCTAACGAGATTCTCTACAATATCAAATAATAAAATTTTACTTATTTAAAATTTCATATTTTCGCTAAATTTCACTATTTGGCTTTTAATTGGAATCTCATAAGACTTCCAATATTTTTTGAGTGATTCTAAACATAGTTTTACTTCATTTCTAGTAAAAACCATCTGTTAGAACTCAACACTCAATTTTACATAATATTTCACAATTTTATTCATTACAAAACACGATTTTAAAACGTGTATGTTACACTTCTGCTTAACTCCATCAGCTTTTTATCGTTAAGTGAGGGACATTTTCGTCATTTCAATACTCAGGGACCATTTATGAGGTTTTTTCTATTTAAAAAAATAATATAAATAAAATATAAATATAAAATATAAAATGGTCTTTCTTTCTTTCTCTCTCTCTCTCTCCCTCTCTCTCTCCCTCTCTCTCTCTCTCTCTCTTAACCAAACAACTATCGTTTGGATCTTGACCATCTGTACTTTGTTCCCCATGTGTACCATAAGCTTGGACCTTTGTACTTTGTTCTCCAGCCGAAGCATAAGTCTAGACGTCTTGAAATTGATTTGAGTAATCATAAACATTCTTCCTATGCATGGAATCATCTATTACATTGTTGCTGCTTAACACAACATTTTGTTTCTGACTAACCAAGTTACAACCTTTCCCTATTTGATCCACATAACTATCTCCAAATTCAGTGAAAAAATCATTGTAGGATCCAAACCCATTACCATCATTCTCAGCAGGTTCGGTAGCAAAAGTTGTCCACCACACCTCCTTAACACCAGGAGCACCTCCAGATCCATGATCCCAACTAGCCATAGAATCCAAAAGGCTCCTCCAAACCAGCTACCTCAGTATTGGGTTCTTCACTCACGCTATCAAATGTAAATGAATTTGAAGAAACCAACAGATGAACATGGTCTAAAAAAGTGTCAGTTTACGCATGTTTGGTATCCCCATCAATGGAAGAAGAATCTTCACCTACTTTCCCCAAATCTTCGAGTCCAGTGCTAACATCACTGATACTTATATTAGCAAAAGCTTTAGTATCATCATAATCGTTTCCATCAACTAATTTGGTCGTTTATGAGGATAATAGAGTAACCGTATAATCATCATCGCCATCATTGACCAATTTATCAAAGAAATCTTCGTTAGTATCCTCCACCTGAAATGGAGGATTTGAAGCCATCTATACCAATCAAAACCTAACTTGAAAAAAACTCTCTTGATCTCAATTCGATTCAGAACCACATTATAGATCCGGAACAAGAACTCCCAATAAATCTAGAAAAACCCCCCCTAAATTGATATATATATATATATATATATATATATATATATATATATATATATATATATATATATATATATATATATATAAGATTTAAAACATGAGAGGTAACTAGGGTTTTACAGATCACCTAACCAGAATTCACAAAACCGTGAATTGCATCATCCTAATCCCAGAGCAAAAATTTACCTTTAAATAGTCTTAGTGCATCAAAATCGAACAAGAATGATCCCCGAAAGACATGAATACATTACAAAATAAACTTAGATACCAATATGACGATTTGAAGAAAATCGCATTATGTATACAAATCTACATGGAGAGAGAGAGAGGAGAGGGGGGGGGGGGAGAGAGGTAGGACCCTTTTATATTAAATATTTATATTTTTTAAATAGAGAAATAGTCACTGGGTATTGAAATGATGAAATTACCATTCACTTAAAGTTAGAAAGCAGACCGAGTTACGCAGAATGACTAAACATTAAAAGTTTTGAAACCGCCTTAACCATCCATGAAATTTTTTAAAATTAAGGATCAAACTTCAGATTTCGTAAGTTTTGAAGTTTTTCTTAAAAATAATATAAAAATAAACTAATTAAAGCTGTTTTAATCGGCGATTGCATACGCCATTGTCTCGGGATCCTCTGTAAAAGCGAGCAGCATCAAGCTACCTGCAACTTTTGTAGCTTGTTGGCAAAGCTACCTCTGAAAGCGGATTTCATCACTGATTTCATTCCGATTTCATTTTTGGTAAACAGTAGAAATCAAGTTGCTAATACCTACATTGTGATGTTTGCTGAAACATCATTCAAACACGATTTGCGTTTTGATTTGTTGCCGTTTATTCTAGTTTTACCTTTACAATGCCACACACATTAATGCGTGTAATCAAGGATTTTCACTTCTTGTTGCATTTCATTACTCCCTTAGTTTCTGTACTTAATCCGTCGTCGTTCACCTTTCACATAACGAAGAAGGAAACCCTTCAAAGCTAAATGATTCTCATTATGCATGACTTACTTGTACTGTACAACTACAATATACGTGATTTGATCCATTTCGGGATATTCTTGTGGAGTCCTGGATTTTATTCAATATATTAACATTATTTATATTGGTTGATGGAAGACATGAGCCCTAGATTTGATGAGGAGCTAACTATTGAATTTCCATGTAATGTTGCTTCATATTAGGAGAGGGAGTTATGTAATCTTGTTGTTTTGTTGAAGAATATTTTATTATTTCATCGATAAAGATTGATATGGATTCCAATCCTTTTAACAAATTATTATCTGCTGCAGCCTACAGAGTCGCATATCCTGAATCTTTTGGACAAATGGTAACTTGGTGCTATTAGTAATTTGCTTTTAGATGATTATATTCAAAGCCTTTCAACAAAAATTTAAAAGCAAGAAATGTTCTTCATTAGCTATTTGGTGGGCCCTATCAAACTTGGAATTTATTTAAAAATTCATTTCTATGCAGGATGACAATTCTTCTTCTGTAAGAAGTGACACCATTGATTGGAATACTAGGGATGAACGTAGGCGGGTACCCGCTTCATTTTGTGAAAACCGGAACCGGAACTGGAACCGGCGGTTCCTAGAAAGTTAGAACCAGAACTGGAACCGCTCTAGGCAGTTCTTAAATGTTTGGAACCAGTCTCGGAACCGGGGAGCGGGTAACCCGGTCGCATTAATTTTGTTAACTTTTTTTAACAAAACCGCAATTTAGTTCGATCTAAATCAAATAAATTCGGACCAAAGACGAACAAAATCGGACCAATATATTCTATACCGGTCTAAGTAACACACACACACACACACACACACACACACATATATATATATATATATATATATATATATATATATATATATATATATATATAAACCAGTTCCGGCGGGTACCCAACGGGTAGCGGTTCCAAAAAAACGAGAACCGGAACCGCTTAAGGCGGTTCCATAAGTTTAGGAACCGGAACCGAAACCGGAACCGGAACCGGAACCGCCTAAGGCGGTTTCCATTCCAAAATCGGCAGTTCCGGTTCCAAAAGCGGGTACCCGGTTCCGATGCTCATCCCTATGAAATACTGATGTGAGCTGGAGATCGCTAATAATAAATCATCATCTTCCTCAGTTTCTATGAGTACTAATGGAACTGTTTTATCCGAATTCGGGGAGGTAGTTTACAATTAATTAATTACACATAAATAATAACACCGGGTCCCACATAATGCCACATGGGATGTGATAATGAAATGTTACACTAATCTCTTTTACTATTTGGTTGCTGCAGTCAAGTTCTTCTAGCAATTATCACTTTATAAAAATGGGATTTCCTCAAGCAATGGTGGATAAAGTCATAGCTGAAATTGGTAATAATTCATCTTTTAATTTTATCTATTATCATTTTATTATATATCTAGTTTTGTTTCATTTCCAGGAGATCATGATATTGATGCAATACTTGATACATTACTCTCATACTATGTAAGTTCTCCATATGTTTTGTATCTTACTATTATTTATATCAACCTTTCTTTGAATAAAAGAAATTGTATTGTTTCTAATTGAAAGTGTTGCAGTATCTTGATGAGACTCTCCACCAAGAACAAGAACTCAATGATTCATTTGTGAAGTCTGAAAGCAATTTTGAAAGTGACTTCTCTGATCTTGATGACAGTTGTAGTGATGTAAGTCCTGCTTTTGATTTTCTTTTTTGTCAAATAAAGCACCGAATTCGTAGTCTGGCTTTCTTCTTCATGTATTTTAGAGATGAAAAAGTATGGAAAACAACGATTATCGTTTTTTTCAAGTTATATGATGTAGTTTAGAAAATTGAAAATTTCTCTTTTCTTAGGAAAAAAACATTTTTCTTACAAAATTTTTTGTGGAAAACTGCAAAATTTTCCACAACAAAACACATTCTGAGGAGGGAATTGGTTGTGGAAAATTATTTTCAGTTTTTTTGGAAAAGATTTTAGAGAAAGGAGTGGAGTTTTATTTTCAATTTTCCGTAGAAAAATTTAGAAAAGAAAACATGTTTAGATGTGTATTTTCTATCCTTTTTTTTATTTTCCAATTTTTGTTATTTCAAATAATAAACAATTTAATATATTACTTACATAACATTTAGCAAATATTGTCGCATCAAACTACAGTTCTCTAATGCAAAGAATTACAGAAATGGTCCCTGTGTAATAGTAAATTGCAGAAATGGTCCGTGTCCTTGCATTGTGCATGAAATAGACAAAATTACAGAAATGATCCCTGTGTAATTGCATGGAATGTAAAAATTACAAAAATGATCCCGTATAATAGTAAAGTTACAGAATTGGCCCCTGACTCCTTGTGTCTTTACATTTTGCAGGAAATGACTTTTTGCGTAAGTTCATTTTGTAGAAAATAACCTTTTTTATATTTAAATAGTTTAAAAATAAAATTTACTCTTGAACTTATTGTTTAATTGCTTTGTCAACATTAAAAATTTTCTGGGTGTGGGTTTATAATTAAAAAAAATTAGAAATGGAAAAGTATGGAAAACAACAGTTATCATTTTTTCAAGTTACACGTAATTTAGAAAATTGGAAAATTCCCTTTTCATAGAAAATTTTTGGAAAAAAAATTGAACCAAACATGTTTTCTAACTTATCGTTTTTTTTTTTTTTAAATTAGAAAATTTTCCACAACCAAATGCATCCTTAGCTCCTATACTTTAGGTTAATTTTATGGGTCCTGTTTATATGGTGTGAGAATATTGAAGATTTGACTAAGTGAAACTGGCTTATGCACAAGGATTGAGACAATTCATCTCATTTACTTCATATAAAGAGAAATAAATATAGGTTCAGAAATAGACACTAGAGGAAAATCTTATAAATAGATAGAATTTACCTTTTTAATAAGTTAAATGCAAGAAATATCAATACACTTTCATTTATTTGTTTATCATAGCATCATAAAAAATCTTCCTAGTTATAGCAATGTGATCCAAATACAAAGCAATTTTCATTGCTTATAATTGGGTAGAGTTTCAAAGTAAAATGTCCCACTAAAAATATTTGAAAGTACAATGCTATGATTGAGTGTATTTTTTTTTTTTTTTCCAATAGACAAGTATATTATATGACTAGCTTCCTTCATGTTTTTGCAGGAAGACAGTAATGAATCTTTTGAAAAGGATGACTCATTGGTGTCTCTAATTGATATGGGGTACTCAAATGGAGAAGCTTCAGCTGCTATTGCCAGATGTGGTGTGTGTAGTTACTACTTCCTCTTCTCAAAAATAAAACTATGTGCAACACATTTAATTCATGACCTTAAAATGAAAATTTCATCAAATTTGTAGGAAAAGATATGCCATTATCAGAGCTAGTAGATTTCATCAGTGCTGCTCACATATCAAAACAAGCCGATGCAGAATTCGATGCATTGACATACGAAGAGGAAGTCTCAAAACAGCCAAAGGACAAGAAGAGAAAGTCTCAAAAAAGGAATTTCTTGATGAAAAAGAAAACGATCGAAAAAAAACCAAAAAGAAAAAGAAACAATGAAGATGAAGATGAAGACGTTCTTCACCTTCCTAATCCAATGATAGGATTTGGGGTTCCACACGAACCATTTCACAATATTCACAGAACGCTTCCCGATGCAGCCATTGGGCCTCTGTATTTTTACTATGAAAATGTTGCATTTACACCGAAAGGTGTTTGGAATACAATCAAACGTTTCTTATACGAAATCGAACCCGAATTTGTGGATTCAAAATTCTTATGTGCAGCAGCTAGAAAACGAGGTTACATCCACAACCTTCCGTTAACAAACAGATCCCCAATTCAACCGCTTCCCCCTCGCACGATTTTCGAAGCTCTTCCTGGAACTAAAAAATGGTGGCCTTCGTGGGACAAAAGAGAACAATTGAATTGCATACTTACATGTATAGGAAGTGCCCAACTTACGGATCGGATCAGATTAGCCCTTTCAAATTCGAATTCGAATTTGAAAAGTGAGTGCGAGCCTTCGGAGCAAGTGAAGAAATTCGTTATCAATGAATGCAAGAAATGGAACATGGTTTGGACAGGGAAGACGAAGGTGGCGCCACTTGAGCCTGATGAGATTGAGTTAATCATGGGGTACCCTATCTACCATACAAGAGGTGCAAGCAAAGCCGAAAGATACAAAGTGTGACAACTGCCAATTCAGGTCATTCTTGGACTCATGCATCTTTATAATAACCATTCATGCACAACATGTCATGACCTAGTAGTATAAATTAGGTCAAAAATCTTGCATAAACTAGGATCCAACTAAGGTCTAGGACTAATATACTTGATACTTACAATTCTAGTAAGTTGCTTAGCTACAATAGGAAATGCCAATACTATAATTAGAATAAAGCTTCAAGCTTTGTTATAATTGAAATAGGGTATAAAACTCTAAAAATAAATTAAAACATTCTAATTATACTTCAACATGTTGTTGAATATCAATCAATGTTCCAAAAACTCTAAACAGCCAAAAATCCAAATTTATAAATCTTAAAGCTTAAAAACTTTATAAAATTTGGCTATAAACTTTCTAATATCAAATTTTATTAATCAAATTATGGATTATACCAATGAAATAGAAATATAAATTACAAGTATTAATCATAATTTATTAGTTAAAAACAAGATTTTTAAATAAATCAAAAATTGCTTAAAGAATCACTTTTATAAAAATTAGATTTTTATAAAAATTAGATTTTTATAAAAATTAAGGAGGGATTTTTTATAAAAATTTGAATTTAGGAGAGAGGAGGCTTTAATGCCTCAAAAATCTGGCCATCTCCCCTCTCCCCATGCACTCTCTTCCCAAAACTCATGATTAAACTCAAACCCACACTCCACCTCTTCTCTCTTCACTCTTCTCACTTCACTCTCTTCACACACTTCACCCTCTTCCTCTCTCTCTCTAAACTCACGAAATTTCTCTCATTTCTCTGCCAAATTTCAAGACTTTGAAGACCTTGAAGTGTTCTTACTTCTCTCAAGATCATAACCAAGGTAAACAACATCATCTTCTTCCATAGTTTGATGATTCTACTTCTTTTCCTTCTTAGTTTTCTCTTCTTTTAGGATTCTATGCCTTTCCATGGCTAGAAATCTTTATTCTCCCCTTGTGGTTTGTAGATTCTCACCATAACACAATGCATGTGTTTGAAATGGTGAAAATCCGGGATCAAACCCATGCAAGGAGTGAAAAAGATGCACATATGATCATGTGACATCAAAACATAATATTTCATGTTCTTCTCCATTTCTTGTGTGTTCATGCATGAACGAAAGCATTAAACCATTTCTAGTACATCTTGGATGCTCATTCATTCCATGCATGTGTTAGAAATCGGGCCTTACCAAGGACATGCATGATGTTCTTATTGAAATACCCTAAAAATGCACACAAGCAAACATGCAATCTGCCAGATTATTTTGTTCGACTTTGAACAGTCATAACTCAGTCATTTTTTAACCAAATCATGATATTCTTTTTGTATTGGTTAGTTCCACGAGTTAACTTTCAAACCCAACTGGTCTTACTGTAAAATATTAAATATCCGATTTTTGGCAGATTTTACAAAAAGGTTGCGCATACAGCTCTTTTTCTGTGATCACTATTTTTATCTTGCTTAAACAATGGTCTTAAACCCAACCATAAATCTTAGGAAAAATACCTTAGAAACTTAACATATCTAGTGAGTTATGGTTGAAATTTCGTGGCTTAAAACCTCACTGAATGGGCTACAAAAATTCATGAACCTCAGCCACATCTACACTTCATGCATTATTGCATGCAACTTTTCTTAAATTGTTTGGAATCATTACCCTCATTTCTCTTCTGAATACATTCTTAACATTTTTACTTTTGAAAGCCCTTGCATGCATGAGATAATCTGGAAAATTTCAAGAGCTTTTGTTATTTATTTGATTTATTAGAATTATTGCTAAAACCAAGGGCATAAATCATATAAAATACTTCCAGAGGTCAATAAATCCTAAATAAATTCATGGATGATACTTATGGGGAATAATGACCCCTCACCAAATTTCAGCAATTTTTGTTACTGTTTCATATGATTTCTAATTTTCTTTTATTTAGGACATGATAAATTACAAAACCACTTTTTAGGATGTGAAAATTTATCTAACAATTTTCGCATACCTTACTTGTGATGGGTGACTCAAGAAAATAATTTCAAGATTTTTCATCATGTCTAGCTATTTTTCCCAATTTTTGGTAATTATAATGGCTTAAAAATGGGAAAAATAGTTCTGATTATCCAAAATTCATGAAAATTTGCCAGGATATCATATTATATAGTAGGAGGTTACATAAAAATTTTGAATATTTTTCTCCACTGTAAACTATTTTTCCCTTATTTTCTAAAGTTAATTGCACTAAAATTCACTTAAATATACATAAATACCCAAAACCAGTTTATACATTATGAAAACCACTTTTGATATTTTTCCCAAGATATTTATACTGTAAATGATGTTACAAAAATTTATGGTAATTTATTTTAACTGTTTAATAATATTTCTTTAATTAATGACTATTTAAAGAAATAAAACAAGGAAAAATACAAATAACCACTGAAAAATATATTTTATATTTTTCCCAGCCTATTTATGTATAATAACAATTAAATAAAAAGTTTGGGTAATTTTGGAAACTGTTTACTATTTATTTCAATTTTTATTGAAATAAATGCTCAAAAATTATAAAATATAATTAAACAGCTTGGAAATCCATTTTTATAATTTTCCCAGCTTAGTGTTGTGTATTAACAGTTAAATAAAAAGTTTGAGAATTTTTATCCCTCGAATACTATTTTTCGTGAATTTATGTTGTTATTGAGACTTAAAATTTGGAAAATTAACCTTCCAAGGTTGTAATTAATCGCACGACTTGTAAAATTTCAATACATCAGAAAAAGTGTAACAAAATGATATAAATCCAATACTAAAACATAAATTGGCATTTCCCTATATGTAGAGTTTAGTATATTAGCATTAGATATCGACATGGAAACTCACTAGTGCGTGTGTTTGGTGTCGTAGGATCCCGGTAGTAAGACGTTGGTGCATCCCGAAGTACCGCTTGTGTCTACACAAAACATCGTGAGTATTCACGCACTCCCCTATTTTCGTTTTTTATGTTTTGGGGTGGAAAAGCATGTCCAGAAAAACTATTGTTTGCATGTTGTACTTAAATTGAATTGTATCAAACATGATTGCTATTGTATTGCTATGTTTCTTTATGTATGTCTATGCAACACGGAACATGAGAACTTATCGTACAAAGGCCCTTCCCTTATCTCTAACCATTAACTCTTTGAGCCAATGGTCGTTATGGATAGCGCTATTAGGAATTGACAACTCCTCACTCGCCCGAATCGCTGGAGTGCATGATACCATATTCATCTATGGAACGATAAGCATAGATCTCGATAGGGCTTCAGTCATAGGTTTGGTTGAGACTCATTGTTTGCTCATACACATACAAACTCGTTTCTCGTTATAGCAATAAACTTGTATTCATTAATAGCAATCAACTTGTTTATCATTGAAGCAATGTACTTGTATTTACGAAAAGCCTTATTGTACGCTCGATTTTATAAACTTGTGATACTCACCAACTATTTTCATAGTTGACGCTCGTTTTACATGCTTTTTCAGGAAATAATTAGTAAGTGGATGTAAAGATTCATCATCATAGAGCATGCTGCATCGTGTTGAAGCTATTATGAAGCTATATTTTGAACAATGTTATTTTGAAAAACTTGTATTTTGTTCTTTTGAAGCTATGGGTTGTAAACTTTTAAATACTGCTATGGTGATGTATCTTTATCTTTTGCAATGAAACCGTTATCGCTGTCATACCTTGCGTTTCCGCTTTAGCGGGGTGTGACAGAAGTGGTATCAGAGCTAAAGTTATAGAGAACATCGGTTTTTCTTTAAGAAAACACAACCTATAACTAAAACTTACAAAGAAATTCCTTTTACATCAAACATATTACAAGTATAATTAGGTTGGGAGTTGTATTATTGGACCTTGATTAAACATAGCCTGATCACCTATGTTTAATTAAGAAAAGATTTATACAAAGCTTGAGCTAATTATAATGGGAATATGTTCAACAAAAATATTTGAGAAAACCTTATTTAAAAATTTCAAAAGGTTAATTTTGGTGTGTGTAAGCATTGCATATTATAGGCATGCATTGTCATTTATTTCATATCTCATTGAAACTATGTCACAGTCCACTATGTCAAGATCGTCATCTTCCCGCGCTACCGCCTCAGCCGATGAATCCGGCTACGTCACTGTTATCCCTCGACGTAATCCCCCCGCCTCGATAGAAGAAGACCCATCAGAGGATACGGAAGATACTGGGAACTCGGTGGAGATCAGCAATGACAACGCCCCGAGTCAACGACGCGAGGCATCACCGACATCGGTGTTGCCACAGCCACCGCTCTATGGACTTCGCATTCGGAGGACAGCGAGGAAGAGTGTCCCCATTCCAGGAAGGATACCCGCCAGCACAGCAGGACATGGCACGGCAGGACCTAGCGGAGCAGAACCCAGCGATGCAGGACCGAGAGCACCCTCACCTCAGCAAGTTATAGGGATACCTGTCAGACAGCCAGGTATGACCCCGGAGGAGTCCTGGAGATTGCAGTCGATAGCAGCGGGCCAACGTCACAGTCTCGCTGTGACAGCTGGGCATCGAGAAGTTTTGGATGAAGTCTTGGCAGGAATGGAAATCCTGTATCAGCATTCGATGGAGACTGCTGACACTGCTAGTGCTGCTAGACGAGAGGCAGGTCATGCGATGACAGCATATTATGTGTTTGGTGGGCTGTTCCTGATTGTGATGTGATAAGGATGGGAGCATGAGCAAAGGAAAGCTCTAGTAGCAAGAGGAAGCCAGCAGATCAGGGAGAGAAGAAGTATGGAGGCAAGTCAGGGAGGAAGCAGAAAGTCTCAAGAAACTTTATGGTAAGAGCCCAGGAGCAAGAACCAGTGAAAACTCAAGGACAAGAAGTGCAGGAGCAAAAGCAGTACTCAGGGCCGCTTCCGAAGTGCAATAAGTGTAACTTCCATCACAAGGGAGCTTGCCCGGTGTGCCAAAACTGTAA